TATGTATATATATATAGCATTCTTAAGACAGCGATTCATTATCGACTCAATTAATCCATACATACTTACTGCATATGTAACTTATGGTTAATACTTATGGATAATTTTATTTTACTTCACTGACGCGTTTCCTATCTTTAAAAAATACATTGAAAGACAGATCTTCAATGGCTACGTTTAACAAAGAAAGCATTTTGCAACTGTTGTAAAATTTTTCAATATATTTTGTTTATATAACCCATAAGAAATTAAAGGCAAGAATCAAGCATATTAAAAATCCTTATAACAGTTGCAAGAGAGCAAAATTATTTTTTCTACTAAACTACACAATTTTTTAATTGACCTAATTGAGTAAATATTAAATTGAGTAAATATATTTAATGAAAGCATTTTCGTGAACTTGGTAACATACGTCAGTTATGGTAGATCCTAAGCAGATGAGCGGTCGCCTGCATAGATCGTAAGAAGGTTGCATTCAACACAAAACGTTCTTTACAGTGTAACACAAAACATCTTTTGGAAAGGAACCATCCGAGAATTAGTGAAATTTAACGCCTGCGAGCCTTTTGAAATTTTTACGACATAATATATGAATCAGATAAAAAAACATGGACATAATATGTTACACAATAAAATTAAACGTAAATGCATCGATTTTGCAAATATAAGATGCAAGTAGATGTACATAATTAAAAGCGAATTTATTTAAAAACAGGAATTTATTTAAGATAAATATTATTGCAATAACACTGACAAATTAAAATTTTTTTTTTTAGACCACAAACCAGACAAAATATTTGTAGAAAGATATATAAGTTATTAATGAGAGTCAACGAGAAAATAAACCGATATGATTAAAGTGAGATTAATATTGTTGACTGTTTCAAAAATCACATTAACAGAAATATTAACCAATTCTCGGTAATCACAGATAACAGATAAATTATTACACGAATTTACTGGGATAATATTTGAATTTTGAACGAAGAACTACATTAATGATAAAAGATTGATCTCTGAAGCGACATTAAAAAATCACGGATTATGTGATTTACATAATTATGTAAAATTTACAAAGTGAATCGCAGTTTCTTGACTTCATCTATAGTGACATTATTAGTTGTCTTAACTTGATGCTTCTTAATTATTTTATCTCTTTTTTAATAAATACTGTACTTCATTCTAACAATATTTATCTCAGCGTTTATATTAGGTGTAGTAAAAAGAAATCCATTATTTTTCCATTCAATTTCATGCAAAAATAATGGATTTCTTTTTACTACACCTAATATTATTAATATATAAATATAATAAAATTTATTCATATTATTAAATTTACTTTATATGTTTATATGTTTTAATTTGTATTGAGAAGGAGTAAAAATATGGTCAAAACGATTTACAATTCATTTTTTTATTTAATTCTAACTAATACAATCATTATACGCATCGACATCAGCGTTAGCTCTTATTGGTAACTTGTATCTCTTTCTTATTGATTTATTCTCAGAGCTTTTTTGCATGGCAAATCATTGTTTAATTCTTATAGATTTTTTATCGCTAAAAGGAAATCCGTTAATGAAATTATTCTAAATAAAAAATTAGACCAAAAAATACCAAAATAGTATATTGTTTTAGTAATTTCGAGTTAAATAGCTCATTTTCAGCAATAAAAAACAAATTCGATTAAATGCACTCAATGCGCACTAATGCATATTAAAGATATACACAGATTGACGAAAGATGCATATTTAATATAAATATAGAAACGGCGATTTAAATATTTTAAACTACGAAATCCTTAATACATTTTATTGTGCTGGATAAAACATGTATGTCATAAATCAAAATATTTGCATTCATGGACAGAGACTTGTAATTTTTTGGCATATGGAGTACCAACACCACTGGAAAGGAAAAGAATAATAAATATCAGATTGATTTTTTGTATATATACATACAAATGTACATGTAAATGTAACATGTATTACGCCTGTACAATTAATAAATATAAATATAAATGAATTTTATTATAGAGTTAAAACTGCGAAGCACATTCCTGAAGCGCTGTTTTCAAATAAACTCCTCCATTAAAATATCTATATTCAATAATTGTGCAAGTTCTTTATTAACGTGTATTATTGCCATGTTATTTGGTCTTCACAGCCCGCGTGTTTACTTTCTATCTTATATGTACATTTCTTAAAAATCACATAAGTTTCAATGTTTGTTTCTCAAATCTGGAATTCCACATGCCAAATATTTGGCTTGTGAAATTTCTATGCTCCATACAGAATTCTTCGACTATGTTTGCATTTCATTTGTGTTAATGTTAAATCCATGTAACGACTTTGATACGCATCAGTGCACACTAATGCATCCAATTGAATTCATTGTTCAAGGATCATCTTGTCTGATTTGTAATCTAAATCTATGTGGCACAGTGTAATAAACGTACGTATTTGGTATGAGTGTCAAATGATGCGTCAGTCTAAACACAAAGTGCTTAAGTTGCCATTATGCATTTGGATAATTAGTCTGAGTAACAGTAATTAATTTTAGAAATAATCATAGATGAAAGCCTGCAAGTCCATTGACATTGATATCCGTGTTTATACAATTTCTCAGATAATAACAACGTACATATATACATAATACATATATGGTGCTATAAACTTGGACTCGCGATAAATAATTTAAAAAGAAACAGCAAACAACACATGATTATCAGAGCGCAGAAATCAATTTGATTATACACGTATAACATCATAATATACAGCGAATAAGCGACGCCTGCTAGAAATGATAAAAAAGTTTTTATAATTAACAGAACACAAGAATAATTAAAGTTGGGCTCTTGAGATAAAAATTATATATAAACAATAAATGAAAATACGGGCAATTAAGAGTCTAAATTCACAATAATTGGAGCGATTATATCAATATATATATTTCTCAATACTATATATATAT